ACAAACACAAACAAACCAATTTTTATGTGGTTCGGCAAATTGCCTACGTCACGGGGCAAGGAGGGGGAGATCTACTATTAGAGAGAAAAAAATACAAATGGGTTTACAACTCTCACAATCTAAACTCTCAAATAGGCTCTTTGCTTTTCTTCACAAGAAAAAATGTCAGCTTCCAAATACTTTTTCTCTCTGCACAGAGCTCTAGGATTTCCCCTGCTGCAGTCGCCAAAGCCTCTGCCATGCCTGCTGCAGCCGTCCTTTGCTCCTGCTTTTTCCCCTCTGCCTCAATCTTGCACCTGTAGCCGCAATTTTTCCCGCAGCCACAAAGTTCACACAAAAAAGGCTCCTTGCACAGAACCCTAGGGGAAAACATTTGCTCCTTTATACACATTGTCTTTGGGTGGACCCCACACGCTAAGAAACCGCGTCTGCAACTATCACGAGAATTCTACTCGTATGGTCCCCACATGCTTGAAACCGTATGCTTTGAAACCGCCTTAGTCTCCCACACGTCGCTATCCAGCAATTCTCCACCTCGGTGAAGTTTTCTCAAAACTGAGCCGACATCAAAGCATCCAAATGTCCCACTTGTTGTGTCCAGTACGCCGTGAAACAATTCACGACAACAGACTCCATCCACAACAAGTCGAGACCCAAAGGGGAGTGCGAACACTCACCCAAAACAATAGTGTCTACTCACCAAATCGATCTCACCCCCGTCAAAATCCAACCCGGCTGTATCATAAATGACTGCCTACGTATCCTCTTGCCCAAGGAATCAAGCCGAACATAGTTCACCCAAATGGCCGCGAAACGACCTCAATCCAATAGAAGAGTTCATAACCCTTCTCCAATATCATCAACTCTGCGGCTGATAGCACCTCCTATGGCCTCAAACACCTCCACTTGAGGTGAACCAATGATCATATCCAAACTATGTCTGCCAGCTACATTCGAATCAAAATCCAACTCACCATCTGCATCCAAAACCAATTGATCCCGAAGCTGTGTCACCTCAGCTAGAATCCCAAATGATGCAGTATGATCTGGAGTAACATTCACCCAATGTAGAGTAGCCACTCTCCACCCGCTGCGATACCTCTAAGGTATGTCCAAAACTCTCCACCTGCTGAGAGTCAATTAGCTCCCTCATCGAAGCCTCAACCAAAGTGACACAATCAGATCTATTTTCCAATAGAGCTTTACCTCCAATCACAACAGTTGATAACTCTTTAATAGGATAATCCAAATATGTTGAAGCATCAGTCCAGAAACTCTTCTGCAAACCATCGCTCGACCACAAATACCGATCCTCCTCCAGCAAGGCACGGTTCTCCAAATTTGCCACCCTATCAAGTTGTCCCAAGATTTCCTTTCCAACGAAGTGTCTCGAAATGCTGTGAGCTCAGCTCCAATACAGAAATAGGTCCATCTTGTACCTCCTACCAAAACCAGAATGAAGTACCTTTACCTTTCTGTCTATCTTACACTTCTTCAAACTGTTAGAGACTACTAGGACTTTCTCCAATGGGGATTTGGTTACAACCCAAACACGCCTAGAACAGCCACCAACAAAAGAAACCAAACGCCTATTACCTCCCAATGATGCCCCCTTGGAAGGCCCCCAAACATCAACGTGAACTCCTCCAGAACGACCCTTAGCACGGTGAATAGAGGTGCCAAACTTTACCTTGGTCTTCTTGCTCATATTAACATGTTCACTGGACTTCAAACTGCAGGTCTTCGCACCCTCTTTCAATCTATGCGAGAAATCAATACTGGAATGGCCAAGCCCCAAATGACACAGTCTAGTCGAATTAATAGAAGTCATCAGTTCTCCACCTGTCACTATACCTCCAGTCAAGTAATACAGGTTATTCCTCCTGACACCCTTCATCACAATCCGAGAGTCTTCCACAATCTTGAGAACCATGTCCTCAATTCGAACATTCAGACCCTCTCCAACCAAAGCTCCAATCGAGATCAAGTTCTTCTTTAAAGAAAGAACATATCTCACATCATTTAACTCCCTAACAGTCCTGTCAAATATTTTTATGCGAATTCTTCCTATCCTAAGGATTTGACATGCACAGTTATCAGCCATGTACACCACACCACTATCCAGCTTCTCAAAACTGGAGAACCATTCCCTTCTAGGGCACACATGATAGGTCGCACCACTATCCAACATCCACTCGGATTCCTCCGAATAGCTACATATAGGACTGATAAAAAGCGAATAAATAGAAGAGTCAGAATTATTACCATCTGATACGATGTTTGCTTCTGATGATGGTTGCTTTCCTTTTTCCTTCTGCTTATTCTTCATCCATTCGTCGAGCTTTAGGCAGTCTTTCTTCCAATGACCAGTCTTCTTGCACCAAGCACACTGATCTTTTCCAATTGTAGGATGTCCTACTCTAGACTGTGACTTCCAATTCTTTCGGTTTGGACCCTTCCCTCTTGCGATCAATGCCTCCGCTACCGGCTCAACTGAAGCCTCCTTATCCTTCTTTCGAAGCTGATAATCCACAAGTGCAGCGGTGACCTCACTATACGAAATGGTTGCCTTCCCATTAATCAAAGTAGGACGAAGGTCTCATATTCCTCGTCGGGCAAGGAACTTAACAACATCAATGCCTTATCCTCATCTTCAATTATAACATCCACGTTCGTCAAATCCACAAGAAGCTTCGTGTAGTGGTTTATGTGATCTCTAATGGAGGTTCCCTTCTTCAATTGGAAACGATAAAGTCTCCTCTTCAAATGCAAGCGATTTTCCACACTCTTGGTCAAATACTTGCTTTCGAGAATCTCTCAAATCTTCTTCGTGGAAGTCTCATTCATCACATTATATTTTAGATCTTGAGTCAAACAAGACCTAATCACACCACACGCCGTTCGATTTATCTTCTTCCAAACCTTCTCTTCAATCTCATCTGGCTTGCCATCTAACTCCAAGGTATCCTCCAAATTCTGCGCGTTCAGCGCATCCAAAACCTCGCATCTCCATAATCCAAAGTTGTTTGTGCCATTAAATTTCTCCACATCTATCTTCATAGAGTGGATATTCAAACTCTGAATGGTCTTCACGCCAGAAGCACCACCCTCGACACCCAAAGCACCTTCTTTCCCCGATATCTTTCTCAACGCACCAACGAACGAATAATAGATCCAAAACTAAAAAGATAGAGTCTTTTACCAAAAGATCCCACCTTTATCACCAAATGAAGCCCTAGACGAGCCTCCAAATTGATCTACTCCTCCAAATAGCCCAAGCGTAGCCCGAGCTCTGATACCACTTGTTGTGCGCAGCGAAAATTTCGACAGAGTTTCTGGTGCACAATAATAGAGAAAGATCCCAATAAGAATTCTCGTCTTACCAAGGAGACAAGAATCTGAAGCGAATATCTCAACAAAGTGAGATATCGGCTCTTCCTCTCATCAGTTCTAGGACTGACTTGTCGTGGGATCCTAAAAACTATTATAATAGCCACAAACACAAACAAACCAATTTTTACATGGTTCGGCAAACTGCCTACGTCCACGGGGCAAGGAGGGGGAGATCTACTATTAGAGAGAAAAAAAATACAAATGGGTTTACAACTCTCACAATCTAAACCCTCAAATAGGCTCCTTGGTTTTCTTCACAAGAAAAAAGGTCGGTCTCCAAATACTTTTTCTCTCTGCACAGAGCCCTAGGATTTCCCCTGCTGCAGTCGCCAAAGCCTCTGCCACGCCTGCTACAGCCGTCCTTTGCTCCTGCTTTTTCCCCTCTGCCTCAATCTTGCACCTGTAGCCGCAATTTTTCCCGCAGCCACAAAGTTCACCCAAAAAAAGGCTCATTGCACAGAACCCTAGGGAAAAACATTTGCTCCTTTATACACGAGCGCTGCTATTTGGCTCGCTCCCCTCGCACCTCGCGCCCAACTCGCTCAGCGAGGAACAGGGGATGGGGCCCACAGCTGGGCCCCACCCCCTGTTCCTCGCTTAGACCATCTCCAATGGCCAACAATCTCAACAATTTTTTGATGCAATGATAAGGCAAGTAGGAAGGCATTTGAAAAGGAGGGGAGAGAAAGTGAGGAGAAAGGCAAAATTTGCCTTCCTGTTAACTTTCAAAATGGGCCCCACATGTCATAAACTTTTTATAATTATTCTCACTTTGTTTTTAAATGACTTTTTTGATCAATAATTATTTGAAATTAATTTTTTATTTTTTCACCACTATTTATTATTTTTCAAGATCTATAAATAGAGATTAAGTTTGTATTCTTTGGACACCAAAAAAAATTTAAATTTTTGCTTAGTTATCATAGTTGAGTGATGTGGAGGAAAGATAAAGTAAAAAAACTTTTTGAAAAACTAGTTGTTGTGAAGTTGAAAGGCAATTGAAAAAGGCAAGTGATGTGGAGGGAGAATAAAGTGAGGTGGAAGGAGAGAGAAAAACAATATTTGCCTTGCCATTGGAGATGGTCTTAGCGAGTTGGGCGCGAGTTGAAAATGGAGCGAGTCAAATAGCATTTTTGTTTATACACATTGTCTTCGGGTGGACCCCACACGCTAGGAAACCGCGTCTGCAACTATCACGAGAATTCTATTCGTGTGGTCCCCACATGCTTGAAACCGTATGCTTTGAAACCGTCTTAGTCTCCCACACGTCACTATCCAACATGATGGACTTCGTGGCCGCACAAGGGACAAGAGCTTGTGGCTCTTGTGCGCACGACGAGGCCCACAAGCCGCTTGAGCTGGGCGATGGGATGGGGCACACCCATCACGTGGGTGTGTCCCCCCTACGTACACAGATGTACGTCTCGATATCGGTAACCTCCAGCTGGCAAGTATAGCATGAACAATATCCACAGTTTCATAATCTGGAATATGCCGGCAAGTGCAGAATTATAATAATTTTATACACGTGAAAGCCGGCAAGTACGTTACGTATACCAAACTTGTAGTATTAGTATATACATTTACCGTCCAATATATATATAAACTTTGGGTGGTAAAACTTAAAAGATCGATCGATGATCTCTCCCAAATGACGAAGCCGGCGCCATCGCGTCGCTTTGTCTTGGTTCACGTCGGCCATGGAGCCTGGTGCTGGTTCAGGCTCCGGCTGCTTCTCGAGGCCGACGGCCGCGAGGTCACGTGCCTCGACCTCACCAGCGCCGGGGTTCATCCCTCCGACGCCGATTCGGTTGTTAGCTTCGAAGAGTATGACAAGCCTTTGGTTGATTTCATGTCGTCACTGCCGGAGAACGAGAAGGCATGGCATGGCATAAATTATTTATTTATTTTCTGGTTACTTTTTCAAAAAAGGACTAAATTTAGAGAGATATTACATTTTTCAAATTTACAAAGGTATACATAATTAAGCCTCAATCTTTGTCCCTTCGCCTTCTCCATTTTTTTTTGTTTTTCCTATGCCTATCTAAACTTTGCAAGCATCGCGTGTGATCCAGGTTGTTGAGAGGTTTCTAGTATGACTCGTATGATCTTGGGTTTAATTCCTAGTGATTTTATTATTAAAAAAAATTAAAAAATAATCTACAATTGCCACATTAATTTGTATCAGAAATTTTTGTCGCTAATTTGTTTTTTACCTGCATTTTATTTTATTTTTTTCAGGTAGTATTGGTAGGTCATAGTGCAGGCGGACTATCTTTGACTCACATCATGCATGAGTTCCCTGAGAAAATCTCTGTTGCCATCTTCATTGCTGCTACAATGCTTCCTTCAGGGTTCCTCTCTGAACAAGACATGAAAGATGTGAAATTTTCTGAACTCATCTCCTTAAATTGTTATTTATTTGCAATTTACTTGGTTCTTCATCCAAACCTCAGCAATCCTTAGTGCTTGATATATAATTAGTTTGTAGCTTTGATTTAGTCAAATTAATGGTTATTTTGACATAATAGGTGGTTTAAATATTAAGTATATATCACGTTTCAACAGGAAGCTATTCAAAATTCTCATTATCATTTGATAAATTGACCTCAGTTACGCTTATCATAAGAAGAAGGAAGTAACCTGTGGCCGGCCTAGAAATATCCTAAATCTTATTTTAACAAATAATTAAGGTAATTAATATTTGAGCTAGATACAGAAAATGATTATTTTGGCATATATGCTCCCTAGTTTTTGAGCTATACATGTGTGATAACTTTTAGAAATTAACTGCAGGTATTAACCTAAGCATTGTGGAAACGGTCTAACACAAATAGATTCTAACACAATTAGATTCGAATTAGGATCTTCTTTGCTTCTTTGCATGTTCTTTATATGCAAAATTAACTGCAAGTATTAACCTAATCAGTTATTAAACAACGAACGATTTTGATTGTGAATTGTTGTAATACCCCCAAGAAATTAGTTCGACATCGGATGGGGACTAAAATGAGAGTGTTTATGAGGTAAAGTGCGGGGTTCAAGCATAGCATTAGCTAAACAATTTTGGCAGTGATTTGAGCCAATAACATGCTACACTCAGTGGGTCACATGGCTTACACCACGTTAATAGGCTCATGGGTTTGGGTAATGACAAATGGTACCATAGCAGTTAGCCAGTCGAAAGTATGAAATTAGTAAGTGTTATGCGGGACTAAATACTATATACCGTTGTAGGCTGTCTAAAAATCACAATAGATAGTTAATCCCCCATCAAACACCGATGATGGAAGTTACAATCTAACGACTTCCAGAAGGCTACAATTTGAGGACTTTCACGTAGAAGGTTACAATCTGACGACCTTCACAACAACTAATGAAGACCCCAATTCAACAGCATTCACAATCAACATCGGGAGTTACAATCTGACGACTCTCATATTTTCAAGGAGCCAAGACGAAGATTACAAGAGGACGATCTGTGCAAAGCTCTAGCAAAAGAGACTACAAATTGACGGTCTCTTCATATTAGAATGCAGATATCTCTCAAACCGTAAGGAATTTGGCAAAACGGAGGAAGCGAGCCGAAGCCTTCGGCTTGGTTCGGATGGCCCCGTCTCGTCGAGATAGCCGATTTTCATATGTAATTCGTCCAATTCCGACGTACGGTTTGAAAGTTATGACCTGTTCTTCGCAGCAAGTCATGTTCTGAAGTCCGTCTGCAAGACCGGACTTCGTCAGAACATTGAACTCAGTCTGAAGCTCGCCAAGCCCGCCTAAGGTTCGCCTCTGCATTACAGAGTCAAAGCGCACATGCTCAACTCTGCGTTTTCAACATCAAAACGCAGAGTTAATCTCTAAAATAGCACAACTGTGCGTTTTCAGCCGTTAACAGGCTCAACTCTGTGTTTTCAACATCTAAACGCAGAGTTAATCTCTAAAACAGCACAATTGTGCGTTTTCAGCCTTTAAACAGGCACAACTCTGTGTTTTCAACATCTAAACGCAGAGTTAATCTCTAAAACAGCACAACTGTGCGTTTTCAGCCTTTAAACAGGCACAACTCTGCGTTTTCAGCCTAAAACGCAGAGTTCATCTCTAAAACAGCACAAACTGTGCGTTTTCAGCCTTTAAACAGGTCAACTGTGCGTTTTCAGGCCAACTGTGCGTTTATGGGCTCAACTGTGCGTTTTTAGCCTGAAACAAGCCAACTGTGCGTTTATGGCCCAACTGTGCGTTTACAGCACGAATTGTGCGTTTTCAGCCTAAAACATCCCAACTCTGCGTCTCAGAGTTCATCACGCTGCGCGGCCAGTGCGTTCAGCCACCAGAATAGGCCCAACTCTGCGTTTTTAGTCTAAAAACGCAGAGTGCGGGCCATGAACGCTACTTTTTGGGGATCCTTGATCGAGCATCTTGCCGCGTTCTGCAGCAACAAGGAGTTTTGGAGACCAGCAACAGGAGCTTCTTCCTTGGCTTATTAATCGAACTTTCGGTTCAAATCAACTCTTTTTCAAGAGTTCAAACTCGTTCAGAGTTATCAACTCGATCAGAGTTCAAAACTTGCTCTGCAAGTCCTTCTAAAACTCGTCAGAGTTATCAACTCGATCAGAGTTCAAAACTTACTCTACGAGTTCTTCTAAAACTCGTTCAGAGTTATCAACTCGTCAAGAGTTATTTCAAAACTTGCCACGCAAGTTCTCCACAGCGTCAAATCGTGAGGAGAAGACATCGTTCCAGTGAATCAAGACGTTCGGATCGTCAACGAGAAGCAAACTCGACACGAGCATTCGAGGGAAGCATCTCATCGCCACCATGAAGAACCCAGAATTAAACAAAGGGGAGAATCAAATCCATTCTCCTCTCTTTTGTAATCGGAATCCAAATTGTAATTGATCTTGAGAGGAATACAAGTCAAATTTTCTTTCTTTGTCTTTTTACTACAAATTTCCAACAAACAAAAGATGGCGACTCTGCTGGGGACTAGCTTCTCTGATGAAGAAGTGGTGGCGCAATCCGACGTTCATCTCATTGGAACGACCGTTGAAACTCTGATCATCGAGTTCGATCAAGCCAAGTTTGAGAAGGCCCTCTCCTCCGGATCCTTTAGCCCCAAGGTTATGCGCAAGATCCACAAAGTTTCCGAGGAGACTAAAGCTCCAGTTATGGCCAACTCATCTAAAGACTATCTCCCATGGTGGTTGCACTGTTCATACAGTCCCCTCCCTAAAGGAGAAGACTCGATTTTGGCACAACGCCAAAAAAGCCGATCCTCCAATCAACGCGAACTTCGCGTTTATGAGCCTCAACTTGAGCTCTGCAGAAGCCAAGCTAAACACAACCCTCAGGTGTGCGTTTCCCAGATAGAACGCAGCTGTCAGAGGCGCGTTCTAACATCAAAACGCAGACCTCAAAACTGCGTTGATTTGGCAGAACGCAACTCTCAGGAGTGCGTTTCAGAACTCAAACGCAACTCTCAGGAGTGCGTTCTATCATTTAAACGCAGACATCAAACCTGCGTTGATCTGGCTGAACGCAACTCTCAAGAGTGCGTCCTAGAACCTGAACGCAACTCTCAGGAGTGCGTCCCAGAACCAAAACGCAACTCTCAGGAGTGCGTTTCGCAAACTGAACGCAACTCTCAGGAGTGCGTTTCTGAATCCGAACGCAGATCGCAGGACTGCGTTTCACTAGCAAAACGCAGACTTTGGTCTTGCGTTAATCAAGCTAAACACGACCCTCATGTTCCTTCTTTAGAACACGATGTGATTCGTCGTGTTCAAAATGATCAACATGGATTTAAAATTCATGTTTACCAAGAACCAGTCCCATCCTTTAACGGACAGGGGGTTCCATCTCTACCCTCACGCTCTGTGAGAGGTGCCAAGGAGACTAAAGCTCCAAAGGTTGCTCCTATGCCAAAGGAAACCCTCTCCTTTAGTCGCCGAGATTACTCGAGCAGCCCTACCTCTAAAGGAGTGGGCTCAGTTTATGCCAAACGCAGCCCTCAGTGGTGCGTTGTGCAATCAAAACGCAACCTTCAAAACTGCGTTGATTTGGCAGAACGCAACTCTCAGGAGTGCGTTTCAGAACCAAAACGCAACTCTCAGGAGTGCGTTCAAGATCCAAAACGCAGACTTACAAACTGCGTTAACCAACAAAAACGCAACCGGCAAAGGTGCGTTTCATCAACAAAACGCAGACTTCGGTCTAGCGTTAGTAAAACAGAACACGACCCTCGTGTTTCTTCTTCAGAACACGATGCGATTCGTCGTGTTCAAAAAGATCAACGTGGACTCAAGATCCATGTTCACCAGGAGCCAGTCTCATCCTTTAATGGACAGGGGGTTCCATCTCTACCCTCACGCTCTGTGAGAGGTTCATCCCAAGTCTCTGACTTGCGGGAATTGCTGTCGATGTTCAACCGACCGACGAATGTCGTTTTGCTCAGTAATCGACGACATCATCACAGGAAGAAGACTTTAGAGGTTGAATACCTTGGAGTCACTTCTAACATGGTTGGTAGAGGGAGATCATCAACCCTTAGTTCTGACGAGTCAGAGACAGATCATTCTCCAAGCGTCAGAGAAATCGTTAACGAGTTTGAAGGAGTCTACTAACGCACTCGGACGCGAACAGGAGCCATTCCCCCTGTCAACTATCGGAGTTTGGCCAGAGAAACTAATTCCGATCACGAACACTCAGCCATTGCAGAGTCCCAGTCATCAAGCTCTTTTGTTGAACATAAGAGCTTCGCTTATACGACGGGAAACCATGAAGATCTCGCAAAGAGACTTGATGAACAGGAGGCCATGCTCAAATCTCAACAGGAGGCCATCAATGTCCACATGGCAGAACATTCGGAAGACCTTTCAAAGAGACTTGATGAACAGGAGGCCATGCTCAAATCTCAGCAGGAGGCTATCAATGAACTCATGGCCATGTTGACTCAAATCGTCGCAGACAAGGCCAAATCTCAGGAGACAGATTCGCCGCTTAGGCAAGAATCTTCCCGGAGAGGAAAAGCGTCTTCATCCCGACCTCACACAAGCAAAGGGAAGGGAAAAGTGGTTGATGATACAGCTTCTGACCAAGAAGCCCACAAACTGGAATCTGAGAACGAGCAGAATCTTCAGTCTGCCAAAATGGAAGAATTGGAAGCCCGCCTTAAAGCCATTGCTAACAGAAGCGAGCTCCAAGATGAGGGAGTTATCAGACCCTATCCTGCCGAATGGGATGCAGCCCCTTATCCTCCAAAGTTCGAGGTCCCGACGCTACAAACTTTTGACGGCACGGGATCACCGAACCAACATATTTATCATTTCAAGTCACAGACTGGAAATGTAATATCAAACGATGCCATACTGGCTCGATTGTTCATT